AAGTATAGGGTTAGTAAGCGGGTATTTTTTTTTTTATTATTATTACTAAGGTCTTAATAAATAGTATAGTATTATATTTAAATCGTTTTATATTTTTAAATTACTTAGGGTACTATCCTATTTATTTTTTATTATTTTAATAAATAAGATAGTTATCGTTATAATAAGTTATTTATAAGAGTTATTTATAAAAGACTTCTTTATTTATAATATTAGCTCGTTTTTTTAAAATAAGTTAGTATTAAATATACTTAGGTTATTAGTAATTTCTAGCTATATATCTTAGTTTATTATAGTTATAGTATTTAAAATCCTTTTTTTATTATAGTTCTTTATATTTAATAATACTAAAGTCTATAAGTCTTCCGTATTATTTATAAAACGTATTTTATTATTATTAATTTCTTAAATTATTTTAGTAATTACTTAGTAATTTATTATAGTTTTAGTATTTTTATTAAAATTAGTTTAAGGGTATTGTACCTCTTTTTTTTTTTTATATTATTTATATAGTTAAGTATTAATTTTAATAGCGAGCTCGACGTATTATAAGAATTTTATTAATATTTTTATTTTACTAAGTTCGTCCTTAATTTTATTTTTTAATCTTTAATAAAATAAGAAAATACGGGTTTTTTTAATAAAATTAAGTTATATTATAAGTTTTTTAAACTTAATAATATAATACGAGGTAAACTTAGTTTATTAAAAGTTAGCTAAGTTTTTTTTAACTTATTATTTTTTATTAAGGTCTTAGAATAGGGATTCGAGGGCGCTCTAAAATCCTATTATACTATTAAAAATATTCATAATTCTTTCTTTATAATATAATAAATAACTATTATTATTAAAAAATTCTTTTTAAAAAGGTTCGAACTATTTTAAAGCTCGTTCTCTAAAGAAAGTTATTATATAAATAACTTATTTAGTTTTATTATAAAAGTTAATAATATAAAACGTTTAATAAGTTTTAATCTAAATTAAGAATCCTTTAAGTTATTTAGTAGTTTTATTAAAAATAATAAGTATATTAAGCTTAAGTTTCTTTTATTTATCTATAAGAGTTTTAATAATATTAATAGTAGCTCGGAGGGTTCTAACTTTTTATTTTAAATTATTTATTTCTTTTTTTTTAATACTTAAGTTAGTTATAACTTCGTTAATTATATTTTAAAAAGCGGCGATATTTTCGTTATTTTTAATTAGAATTAGAATTATTTAAATAGAATTATTATTAAAGAGCTCTATGAGTTCTTTATTTTATTTATTATTTTTTTAATAGTATATTATATTCTTTTATAATTTACTTTTTTAAAAACTATATTATTATTAGAGTTATAAATAATATTAAGTATTTTATTATCCTTAACCCTAGTTAGCTTATTAATTAAGTTAATAAATTATTTAAAGTTAAATAAAGGGGTACTTAGGGTTTTAAAAAATATTATTATTTATTTTATTATTTAATAAATTATTATAAAGTTAATTTATTAAATAGGAGTAATTAAAATATTATAACTAGCTAGTTATAATAAGTATATTAATAAAAGTTAAGGTTATAAATATTAAATAAGTAGTATTATAGTTATAAATAGCTTTATTAAAACTATATTTATAAATCGTAAAATAAATAAAGCTTTAATAATTAATTATAGTCTTATTAAAGGAATTTTTAATAAAAATAGCTAAAAATAATTATAAAATTTAATATTAAGTTAATTATTAAAGAAGCTATAAAAAATCTATCTTTAAACCCGGCTTAAGTTTATATTATATATAAATCTCGTTCTTAAATATATTTTTTATAATATTCTTATTTATTATTATTTAACTATTTACTAAATAGTTATTTATTTTATTTATTTATAATCGTCCGTTTTATTTATTTATAAGTATCCGTTCCTTATTTTATTATATAATCGTAGTTACGTAACTTATTTATAGTTCTTCCGTCCTAAGAAAAGTTATTTTAAGTCCGTACTTTTATATATATAGTATAATAGCTATTATAAGTCCCGTGGGGCGGGACCCTAGTCTTATTATATATATTAAGTCGTAATACTACTATATAATTCGAAATAAGTAAGCTATTTTATAATAGTACTAGTTAAAAAAGTTAATAATAAAAGTCGGCCATAATAATTAGTTATAATAGTTAGCTATAATAGTTAAAAGCGGCTTTCCTTAACTATAGAGGTTTTAAACTTTAATAATAACGTAGAGGTTTTTAAAAAAAGGGCTAAATAAGCTAATATTTACGTACTAAAGCTTATAAAAAAAATTTTTATCTTTATTGTTTCTAATACTACCTAAAGCTACTCTCTATTTAAACTAAATAAATTTATTAAATAAATTTATTAAATAAACTTATTAATATATAAACTATTACTTTAATAAGAACTTATTTTTTTAATATATAGTTAATAATTAATAAGTTAGAACTCTAAAAATGCTTATTAATAAGTCTACCCCTCTTAAACTAAATACGCTCTTTAATTAGCTTAACGCTATAGCTATTATAACTAACGTAAATATATTTAAAAAATAGCGAAGTATTTTTTAATAATACGGAATTTAGCTAAGTAATAGTACGAATGCTATAAATAGCTAGGCTAATATAAATATTAAAATTTAGTATATTAATATTAGTTTAGAAATTATATTTTATAAAGTTAGAAATCTTTTTAATATGGGCTATATTATAAATATAAGGGAATATATAAGAGGCCTTTTAATCCTTAATAAAAAAGAGTATATAATATAAGATTTAGCTATTTATATAAGCTAATATTAAGAGGTCTTATATATATTAAAATAAGTATAGCTCGCTCTCTAAATAGTTATGCAGGGGAAGGTCGGGAGCTATTAATAAAAAAAAGATAATAATCGAGTTAGTTAACTATTTTAATTAGTAGTTAGGTATAGAGCGTAATATACTTAGTTTTCCCTAATACGTAATATATAGTACGGCCCCGGTAGATTACTCCGTCAGGGGGATTAATTTATCTTCTATAACCCTAAGAAATATAAAAATCTCTATATATTTAAATTGTAAATGGTATATAAAATTAAGAAAAAAGGAATACCTTAACTATACGAGAAATTTAAGTATATAATTTAGGGGTATAGTAACGTTAAAAAGGTGACGCTACTTACCTAATTACTTATAATATAGTACTATAACTAACGATTAATAATAGTATTAATAATATTATTATAAAAAAAGGGATACGAGATTTAGAGCTATAATATTACTTAGGCTTATACTTAATTAGTTATAGGGCTTATAAAGAAAATCCTAGCTTATTTATTAAAAAAAATAGTTAGTAAGTACTTAAAAAGTATAATTATTAAAATATTTAAATTACTATATAAGCTCGTAGAATTGGGTACTTATTAATAAGTTATATACTACGATTTTTATATTAATTAATTATTAATAATTATATTTACGTATAACTTATACTTATTAATTTCTAAGTACGAAAGTAAATAATTTAAAATTATTAAAATATAAACTAACGATATATTAAGCTTATTTAATATTAATTTTATAAAAAAAAGAGGATAAAGAGCTTTAAAAAGCGGGATTTATAGCAAAGTTAAAAAAGGTCTTTATAATAAATAACTTATTAATATTTAATAATAGGATTTTTATAATTAAACAAAAAACCGTTATTTTTTAATAAAAGGGGTAAAATAAAAAAATTAACCTCGTTAACTTAAATATAATTAATATTAAAAAATAATATAAAGCTAAGCTCGCGCGAGGGGTATATATTATAAGTATATATTAGCTTAAAATAATTTTTAATTATACTAAAATAATATAAACTATAGAACTAAATAAATAAAACGTCGAAGTACTTAATAAGTAGTTTAAATAATAATAAATAAATCTTAATTAAAGCCTCGTTTATTACTTAATTAACCTTATTATTAATAAGCTTTACGTTTTTATTAATAAGTTATTTATAAATAACGACGACCTTATTTTATAATTAAGGTATATTATTATCCTAATTAATAAGAGTATAAATAAGAGCGAATTTACTATATATAATAATATAGTTTACTATTTATTAACTAAAAATAAGTAAATAATAAGAAGTATACTAGTATTAAAAGTTTATAATATAATTAATAATATTAACCTCGTTTATATAATTTTAATAATACTAAAAAAGATTATTAATTAACTTAACTTTTTACTAATCCTAATAGTTATTTATACTAATTCTTATTTATTATATAAATACTTTATTAAATTAAGAATAATAAAAAAAAGAGGCTTATAATTAATATTATAGCTCTTAAATAATTATATAAAAAACGTAAAATCTTCGAAATTTATTAAATTAATAATAATAATAACCTCGCTAATACTTTTATAAAAGTAATATTTAATAAAAAATTAGAATAATTTATAAATAATAAAAAAGTTAATATATAAATAGAGGGATAGGTTATATAAAAAGAGTAAAAAAAAAAAGAAAAAGAAATAACTTAATAAACGGGCTTAAAGTTAAATTATACCTCTAATTATAATAAATAAATTAATAAAAAAAAAGAAAGTTAGTATTAAATTAGAAGTTTAATTTAATTATAATATATAGCTAACTATATAAGGGCTAATTAGGGGCCTTATTTATAATTATTATAACTAACTTAATTTATAATTAGAACCTCCTTTTTATATTTATATAAAAATTTATATAGTTTAATTAATCTCTTCGTTAACCCACGGTTCGAACTAACTACCCTGTAATAGGGATACCAATAATAATAATAGGATCATCTACGTATATTTTGGGGATGCCGATTGTCCGTCTTTTCTCTGCATTCAAAGAGTCTAGCGGTTCGAACTCTACCTTTAACTTTTCCTTTCGAACCAATCGCATCTCCTCAACTGTCGAAGAGTTCTTTCTTTTCTTTCACTCTCTTGGTTCCACCCCTCACACTCTCTATCAACGTCATTCTTGTGTGGAAAGTCCTTCGTCATGAAGCATGCCACGCTCATTATAGGTGTCTTTTGCGGACTCATGGCTCCAAAGCCTACCAAGTTCGACACCTGGTCTGTTGACCAAGAAATTCCGCCACCAGCGGTCGTGTCGTCGGCCACGCTACCCAGGACGTCCTCGATGTTTTCGAGTATCTCGGGATTCCGTTTGCCGCTGCACCTGTAGGTGCCCTGCGTTTTCAGCCTCTTGTTACCTATAATGACTCTGCAGTCATCAATGTCTCAGCATTCGTAAGTCTAGTGGCTGTCTCGGTCATTTTTGCCTACCTCAACTTGGGAACGTTGTGTCTAACGTGCTGCGAAACAGGGCCCTGGCTGTATGCAACCGCCTGACACAGAGTACCCTCAAAGCGAGGACTGTTTATCAGTTAATATTTGGACCAAGCCACAAGTCGGCGAGCGGAAGAAAGCCGTCGTTGGCTTCCCCGCTCTTAGCAGGAACTACATGTCGACGAGGTGGTCTAGACTCGGGGCGGCCGTCGGCTGCGGCACTGACACAAGCAATGCCACAGACCCTAAGCTCGTCACGGACTGCATGAGGAACCGGACCAGCGAGAAAATCTTTGGCGCATTCGGGCCCGAGGAGACGGGTGTCGGCTCTACGCCCGCTTTCGGGCCTGGCGTGGACGACATTCTCGTATTTGAGGATTATACTGGTCGTTGAGCTGCCGAGGCTGGGTACCTGATTGACGACAATACCAACGAGGCGGGACTCTTCCGTTCGATGCAGCCGAATAAATCAGACGCGTACTGGAACGACTTCAACTCCAGGTACTATACCTGCGGTACGGCCATCAGGATCAGCCAGACTGCGGACGATGGGATGCTGGCCTGGAGGTGCCGGCATTTCGGAGACTTTCCCAACCTGGCCATCTCTGCCAACCCACCCAGCGGAGCCTATCACGGTGCCGAAGTGAGTGCTTAACCATGCTGCCCGGACTTGTACATCGTGAGGTTAACTATTGTCTTTCCTCTAGCTTCCACCTCTTTTCGGCACGCTGCCTCAGAAGCCGCCCAGCACTGCAGTCGAGCTGGCGACTGCTGAGTTTCTTCGGGGGGCGTGGACGACCTTTGCCAAAGATACTTCATCTGGCTTACTTGGCTACGCTGGTGGATGGCCGATCCATGATCCCGCTCAGCTTACCCTTGCTCAAATTGCGCGTGACAACCAGACGGGAACAAATTTGGGTCTCGGGAGCTCATTTGATGGGATTTGCTTGTCTTTGCCGGCGATTCCTCTTTCCTAGACTTGTTGGTACGGCGTCAAGGTGCTCTGCCTGACAGACAGCATTCCGATATCTGCCACTCTTCCATCAAGACTCTTGACATGTAGGCATATAGTCTGACACTTCGATAATGAGTCGAGTATAATGCTTGTTGAGAACGGCTACATGTTATAGAAAGTGAAAGGGTACGCCTTCGGGGTATTTTAAGGTTAGGGTAAAAGCAAACCCTGTGTTGAGGAGGATAGTCGCTAACGTTAGGCTGCATCCAATCTGTTTAAAAACCAATTGATAATGATAGATAGATATGAGAGGATGTTTTTGTGCACGATCCTGAGGGTGTCTAGTAAACAATGTGTCTTCAGCATAAGCCACGCCCTTCTGGTTTATCCCGCTAGTAGAAGCAACGCGTTGGTCAAAGGGTAGATTACGGTAATTAAGTGCTACTTTCGGTTACTTGAAGCCTAGAGGGCTGTGGACTAATTGGAACTGGCAAAGCTCTGACAGGTCAGTTGATTTGTGACTACATTAACCCACATCACTAAGTACTATACAATATATGCACGAAGCATTATTACTATGCAAAAGCTCGGTATTATGGAGTAATGGTCGATTTGTTGAGTACGCTCTGTGAGTCCCCATTGATGAGTAGACACTAAATGGTCGTCTTGATATGACTGCAGACTTTGATGAGTATACCGCCTAGTAATCTGAGAGCACGAATTGGAATAATGCGATGATGTCTTCAGAGGCTGGTGCTGTATTGTTTTAACGCGAACATCTCGTTTTATAAACCAATGCCATGTGATCATCAAGAGAAAATGTAGCAGCTTGATTTTTGACGATAAGATCCTTATTAAGACATGAAGTCCAGTGAAGAGAGACACACTGTCTCGGTACTACGAAGCTCTTGGGTTCGGATTTTGTTCGGATTTAATAGGCTATATCTAGACCTTTCATGCAATCATTAATGTCACGGTCGATCGCCATGCCATATCAGGACGTCGTTCGCCATGCCAAGTGTGTAAATGGTATTTGATCTAGTTATCATCTATTTGGATAACACTCTTCACCTTCATGTTATATGTAAACTTGAGAAGCAATTGTTTGTTGGCTTTCTTATTTGAGTTGGCATAAAGTCCACCTTGCTCTTTGACGAATTACAACTGGACGTCTTTCTGGTCCGTACGACCCACGGTAGGTAAGGGGCAAATCACAGAGACCAAGCCAGTGTCATTTATTCATTTTATCAACGAGTCTGCTGTAGCGTATGTACATCATTTAGATCTGTCAAACTGTTTACGGAAGCTACTGCACTGCTGTCAGGCCTCGCCGGTTAAGGGATAGCTTAAGGGGCATAAGGAGGGGGACCAAGCAACAAAGGATCAGCTCAGGTATATATAGAGCGCTAGTTGTATACCTCGAGGGAAGGGCAGATTTCAGTAATTTATCTTCTATACCCTAATAGCAGTTGGCCTCTGTGAGCTTCTCCCCTGTGTCATACACCTATTGACAACTGCAGGGACCAAAAAGCACTGAAACTCATAGCCTTAAACCACTCTTCAATGCCGTCCCGTAAGGCCTGTTATTTCTCTTCCTCCCTATATGCCTTTCTCTTTCTAGGAAAATACTGAGGGCCACAAATGTACTTCGCATGCAAGGCTCAACGATGGCAGCAGACAAAAGGAACGTGGAATGTCAGCTGTGCAAAGGGTCAGCTCTATTTACCTGACGGAGAGTCATCTTTGCTGACAGATTCTGATAAATCACTGGCACATTTAAACCAACAAGTGAGACCGCAATTGAGCAAGACTAGCACTGTTTGTCGTTGGATCTGTCTCAACATCTCAAGTAAACGCTAAACTGTGCTACTGTTTGCTATTTGGCCTGTCTTAATACCTCAACTAAGAGTCACATGCTGTAGCTTACGCCTCCTTGGACCGTTTGCTTTTACCACCAACATTACCACCTTGCCGTTGAAGCCGTGGTACATCTGACGAACTTTTAACCACTACCTAACTTGACTATGGAGAATCTATGCATTTTGATTCACGGCCAAATTCTTGAATGTCTAGATCGCGTGAGCAGCCAACAGAAGCAGCTAGCAGCTTAGCATCGATTTGAAGATCGCCGAGGGGACGTTGGGCTGATCAGATCCTACCCAGCCTCCCAATAACACATCGTCCTGGTGTATAACCCCGCTTCGCGCGGCCTGCTCCGCTCCGCCACACCACCCTCAACTTATAGACCCCGGCGCGATATCCCAGGAAATATCACTGGCCCGGATGGTTGCTCTGCAGGTTGTTCAAGAGTCTTGATTCTATTGGCGGAACTGCAAGAGCCGCCAGTTGCCATGTTAATTTTCACGGCTTGGCTTTTTGGAGAGTGGTTGCGCGTTCGTCAATTCATGCGGCAAATCAGGATTTTGTTTGTCTCCTAGGACTAATTCTTCGTGACGATTATTGGAATGCTCCCCCATGATCAAGACATTATCAACCACCGCCTCTTCAGACCGCTGCATATGTCGGCAGTGGTCTGCAGCAACAATGCAAGCGTGTTGTTTGTCTGACGGAGAAAAAAGGAAAGACTCCATTTTCGGCACATGCTGCGCCGCGAGTTGTTCATCAAAATTAATCTTGACCGATAACAAAATTACTCTTGCGCTAAATTCTCAGCTCGCCTACGCGTATGACAAGGCAAGCCACCACGACATGGCTCTTCCCGCCCGGGATGGCTGGCTAGGTGGAGAGATGAACGCTAGGCCCCCTCTGTGCAACGATATTCTAGAAGACCGCTCGTCAGCGTTCTCGCTCAAAAAGCCATGTGATCTCTCTCAATATGTGAAAGGGAGCCCCGAGCGCTTGGCACATCTTTCGAAACCCTAGTCGATCGGTGAAGGCCGTTGTCAGCGATGAAGATTTGAAGCCACAAGACTTTCAGTCCCAAGTAGCTGTCTAGCGCGGCGAGCTTTTCCACGACTGGACGTGAGACCCGTTAGTTACCCCCTGGGGAGGCTAAGGACGCACACTAGAGGGCATAAGCTCTTTTCTCCCCCCAGGTCGGGAGAATTAGCCTGCCCGTTGAAGCCAAGACGCCGGTTTCCTAGTATGTTTTGTGTGCCTGGAACTTTGGCAATAGGCCGGCTGCGCTTATCGGGTGATGGCATTTCTTTTGGGGAAGCCATCTCCGGCACTTGCGAGGTCCTCGCCATCGCAGCATCACTGCTCTGTCGTCACTGGGTGATCACAGGGTGACGAGCCACTTTCTCGCCTATCGCCAGACTGTCCAATCCGTGTGCGTGCGGCTCGCTACCAGAAATTGAAGAAGAGGTCATGCGTCGGCCGAGGTAAGCGGTAAGCGGCATCGCATTGCTACGTAATTTGCGGGAAAGGAGCCTCTGGTTCCCTCTTTTGAGTATTTTCGCGTGGCGTCAGAGTTGGTCACCTTTGGCAGTTGGGGGAGACCCGAAGTTCCGCGCGATATCCATCATCTCCGCCGACCAACCCGTACTCCTGGAATCTCGCGACGGCACAACTTTTCCTAGTACAAGGATCCACACGTATTCCGCTTAAGCCTGGGCCTTTTACTTGTATCCTTGGGCGTTCACACGTGGATCGTGCAAGTTTCGGCGGCCCTCTTGATGTCTCTCCTGACCGACGAAAACTCCTCAATCCTTTTTTGCTTTTAGTTCATTGCGACTCTGTAATACTGTTGCTATCACCCTGTCCTCCTGATTTCTGGGCGCACGTTTGTTGTTGAGAGCACGACTCCATCGGTGTTGCAACAGAAGCTTTCTTGAGCTCCGTTACGTTGCAACGTTGAACCTTTCACGATTCAGTCAAATCAGCGGCCAAGCTCCCCTGGAAACGGCCGAGCATCCCGCATCCGAGGAAGGAAGTCCCGCTTTGGGCGGCATGTGGCCATTTCTATATAGACCCATATTGAAATAAAGAGATAATACTACCGCGCGGGCTCACAGCCCAGCAAGGCCTCCGTTGCGGCGTGCGGCGTGCGGTCTGCCGCACCTATACTCATCACACCCGTCGTCGGAGAGAAAAACCAGGACAGAGTGACAGCGACGTATGGAAAAGGAAAGACGCGAGAAACAAAAAGAAAAATAGCACAAAAACGTACGAACAGGAAAACTCCCGACGCTCTTCTCCTCTTTTCCTGAGACTTGCGTTCCCACAAATCCACCGTCGACACATGTCACTGCTCACTACCGCCGTAAATTGTCCGAATCCCCGCCAAGGCCCAACCGTTGGACATTCGGCCGAATCACGAAGCCGGGAACGTGTCACACAACGGCCAACAGAGGGAGCATTGGGACGGAGACAGAGTCCAGTCTGGAAATCACATCGGGATTGCTTTTTTCTTCGGGGAGGTGTTAGAGGGGAGGCGTCACCAAGTGACACCAACGCCCAAAAAGCGGACGTGGCCCTCGGATCAAGTATAGATCATCCATCTACACTGGGACGTCGCCACGGAAGGGGGATTTTCTGATTGGTGTCCCATTGGCGCGGATTCTGGAACGTCCCCAGTGCAGTGTTTAGTGACATTCAAAGTGTCAAAAGATGGGATGGACCTACGGTACACTAACGGGACGGTGACAACCGTGTGCCCGCGATAGGGAGACACAACGGCTGAAGCGAACAATTCGTGCGACAATGACAGCTCGGGTACCACACGGGACTCGCTAGCAGCGTCGTTACCCGTCAGCCTGAACAAGAACGCCGAATTTCCATTTCTGGAACGACTGGAGCCTTTTGAAAACTTGAAAGAGGGATCACGGTGTCACATTCGACCTTTTGCTCGCTCTCTCAACTTCTCAACCGCACTTTTCACAGTCACTCCACGTGGCCGCACGGAAGTGCAGAGCCGGGATGTGGGAAAATTGTACCACGTATAGGAGCACTCAGTCACTTCGGCCCCCCCCAAAGTGCAACCCAAGGTGGGTGAATTACGCCACAGTGCCCCTGTCCCCGAAATCGTGTGCGCCCAGGCCTATCCATGCCCGTGTTGCT